CGTGTTGTCAGTTGAACTTTGACTGGTCCTCTCTAATAGACAGACGGGCTTTGATCCAAATCCTTCCTTTGCAGCTCTGGCTGATTGAAGGGTTAAAGGAAGGCACTTTGTCATTGTGGCGTTGAATATTTTGAATTTGTTTAAATCTGAAATTAGCCCATCCCTCCCCACCAAGCCCCCAAAGTGATATAATCCACTTGGAAGTATATAACATCTCTTTCTTGTGATTCTTCTAATCTCCCCTTAATAATGAGATAACTAGAATGATAACTACTGATACAAATATATACTGAATCATCTTATTGACAGATGAAAGCTACTGAATGTTTTTTTTTTTATTTCAGAGAATGCACTGTACACTCCCTGCAATAAATGACTCAGCGCCCTGAAGCAGCAGATGTTTACAGTGGCATGCACTTACAAACTTCAAACGCATGCTCCCATTCTCTAAGGCACAGCGTTCAACCGACTGCTGCTTGGAGAAACATTCCAATAAATAATGCTGGCAAATTATTTAGGTTTAAAGCAATTAGATGGCTAAGCTGTGCTTGTCTTGACGTGACTTTGTATAAAAACTACCGCTGCTTACGTATTGCCCTCAGGTGCAGCCTCCCATCATCCTGGGAAATGTCGCTTTACTAAGACAAGATCTGCTTGTTTTCACACATGTATTTCACACCAAAAGACTTTAGAGAAAAGGCAAAGAAAATTGTGTGAGAATATGACTGCATGAATCTCTTTGGCTGAACATTTGTAAATAGAAACCCCAATGTGTTTAAATCAAGAGGTTGTGGAGTAGATTTAAGTGACTAACTGAGAAAATTTCTTAACGATTAAATATCAACACAGGTTAAAGATTGTTTGTGGCTGCCCTTTCTCTAAATCAGTGGAACAAATGCTACATATGGAAAGAGTATCATCACTTTATTACCATTATGTATGATGAAGCTCTTTTTATTTAATTTCCCCCTACATTTTATTCATTATTTAGGAGGTTAATTATGTTTGCATGACTATTCAAACAGGAATACTAAAGTGACAAATATAGGCCTAATGCATGTCAGCATCTTATGCAGCAGAAATGATAATTTTTTTGTTATTTTTTTATGGCTATAAAGATTTAGTACATAGTAGTTTATCCATGACCCAAATGAGTGTTTACAAACTAATTTAGTGTGTACTTAAACACAGTTGTAAACAGGTGACAATACAGCACCCTTTACTAATAGAACCGAAATGCTAACCAACCAATATGTCTTAGTCAACTTTTCTAAAGTGATATAGGCGTCCTCCTTTATGTAATAATTTTACTCATATACAATGTTTCCCAAAATTTTCAACAAAACACTTAAATTGAGTGATATCTTGACTCCATTTTTAGATTTAACGCCTCAAACTTTGCCAAAGTTGTTCTTTTAAAAGAGGGATGAGGAATATGTGGAGGGTTTTTGAGGTCAGACACTAATGTTGGATAAGAAGCATCATCTTGCAGTCCCCATTCTAATTTATTCAGATGGTTTTAACCAAACAAAAACCCTTCAAAGAAACTCATACAGTCAGTCTACATAGTTGTTCACTAAGACACACAAGACTACATAGTTTAAAGCTTTCATCATCTGTAAATCAATATAAAGTTAAGTCAGTAACCCACACACCCTCACAAAGACGCTCCCCTATTGTATGTTCAAAATAACTTGCTAAAATCAACTGCTAAACAACAGGAATAGAAAAAAATCCCCATAAAGAACTGATTGTCCAAAGTAGAACCTGGAGGTTATAGCTGTAAATTTTGGCACTTAAGTAATTGCTTAGATCATAAATGGTGTTAGAAAGCCACATGAAACTTGCAATACCTTGAAACAAAAGGAGCCAAAACCAGGAGGGATATGATGGTTAAAGAGTTTAAAGCTACCCAAAATTAAGATGTCAGAAAAAGGTAATGTATAATTTTTGGGGTAAAATCTAAGCTAAAGAAGAATGCTTTGATCACTACACATCCAGATAACGGTTTATGCATTAAAAAAACATGCATGTGATAGATGGACTAAAACTGATGGGGACAGATTTCAAACTGCTATGTATTGTATGGTAATATTATGTAATAGGACGATGGAATGTTGTACAAAATTATGAAGTGAAAAGAAATAAGAATCGTTTTCCCTGTTTTACCAAAAGGAACATACCCCCCTATGAAGGTATGTCAAGTATTTCCTCACCAATTTTTTTCTATATGCATCCATGGGAGTGATTGGAACATCCACATTCATTGATTTGGTAGTATGACACAAAACGTCTGGCAGTATAGTGCAGCTTTATTTAGAAACCACTTTCTAAGAAAGTGCTAATGGAAGAGAAAAAAAGAATAGAATAAACAGCTTAAAATTGATTATAATAACAAAACAATACATAGAATTATTAATTTAGAATGAATAATTTAGAATAATTAGTTATAAATGAAGACGTTAAACATACAAACATATTCAGTTTTCTTATCACTGAATAAAATCTAATGCTTCCAATTAACCCTTTAGAAAAAAAAGGCCCTTTAAGCATCATGTGACAGTGAACCAGTTGAAAAAAAATTAATAAGGACATCCCATACAATTTTCAGATTTCAGTTTCAATTGTTTAACTAAAGAAATAAGCTATAGATTAGTATTTATATTATTTGTACACACAAAGAGAATCAGACATAGACACAGCTGTGCTTTATTGCTATACAGGGTAGAGGATTATAAAACATTGGGATAATATTTACGAAATACCACTATCTTTTTTTTCACAAACACATTCATATGCAAATGAAAATATATTGTATGTCATGTACAAAAAGAGGATTACAATAAAAAATCATGTAACAAAACAATGAAAGGCAGTGGCATTCCCCTTACTTTAGATGCAGAAATAATAGAATAACTAGATGAGAATCGCCATTTAGCGCTGATAGTAGCACCAGAAAGCTAATCTCTAAGGGGATGTTTTATAGATTCCTGCTGAAGAGAGATGAATGGCAGTATTTGACCTGCCAGAGTGTACTATGTGCATGACAGCCTTAAATGTGGACAGTCAGTATGAATAGGAGGCAAAGGGTTCACAGTGTGGTAAAAACATATTTTTCATATTATATAGTCTGTATTTCTTTCCACCTCAACATGTGTATGGTATGGGAAATCCAAACATATTGATCATGCAAGCTAAAAGCCTAATTTCATGGTTTATACACAAAAATCACACAGGTAACCTGAATGCTGCTCATTATGAATAATAATTTGTATCCTTTATAGATGAACAGCAAAGTTCAGCTTATCTTTTGCTTGTGTTTGCATCAGATTCATTTCTTGACAGAGTTTGTAGTTTTCCTGCGGCACACAAGACTTCCATGATGGAGTAAATGTGAGCCACCTCACATAAAAGTGAATTGCATACACAACTGGTAAGGACATAATTCACATTAAGCAGTCAAGTATATTCTTTTCAGAAGCAAGAGCATAACCACAAAGCTACAAAGAATATTATCAACACTCAAAGATGGAATATGTTTGCAGTTAGATTTTCAAAATACTCTGTTGAAAATGTCGGTGGAAATCCCCTAAATCCTCATGCACCTTTGTGCTTCTAGTCTGTAAGGCTGAATCAATCTGACACATTGTGGGTAATCAATGGCAATGAGAAATCAATTAGAGCTATTGATACTTAGCATCTCTAATCATTCAGGCATATCTCCCAAGATGAACCTATGGAGAAACAGTTGCACCATGCAAAGGTCAACCAAAATACCACTTTAACATTGTGGAGTAAACAACAGCATATATAATAAAATTAAACATCCGTTTTGTATCAGTAAAAAAGAAAAACAGAAAATGCAGAGTGACAGGATTGGGAGGGGGATAATAAATAGGGGGAAAAAAAACAACGGTAATAAACAAGTCATTGTAAAAAAAAAAAGAAAATAATCACATTTTTAAAATAAATCTCTTCCAGCTTCTCAGTCATTGCATCAAACCCAAAAACATTCTTTAATTTCAGGGTTTTGATAAACCCTGTTTTTTTTGCACCACTTCTGTGTTGTTTGTCCATCTTTCAGTCTCTATGCTCTTCTGCAAAATAAGCAAAGGACTTAAAACACCAGTCACTATTTACACTGACGTTACCATGGAAACACCCGTAAAGCAAATCTTATCCATCACAGGAGGGGGGCGGGGTTGAGTTGGAAATAAGGTTGCGACTTGGGGTCAAATGCAGGAATGATAACTGGATAGATGTGGGGTTAGAGGTCACTGGAGGACAAGAACACAGTGGAAGAATCTGTACAGAAGTCCATTTGATCTGTGTGTGAGCTCTTCTTAATGACACTGAACACACAAATCTGATAAGATGTCGACACAGGCATTTTTAGGAGCTTGAAACTTTAGAGGCTCAGGCTAGCTTTAAATCCTGGGATTTCTGTTTTACAAATACACAATTTAATTTCAGTTATTTATGGACTATGAACATGAAAAACATTTCATGGGTGGAATCTGAATTATTTTCCTGCTCTCTAATCATTAATTGGCAGCAGCAGTAAAACACAATGAAGAAATACAATCATACAAATTATTGGCAATGCAAACTCCAACAACTACTTTAAATGTTCTTATCAATGTATGACTAATTGGCTAGTAAAAAAAAAAAGTTTTATTTCAGATTTCTAGTTGTTTTCCTATGTCGTCTTCTGTTAATCTACAATGTAATAAATCTGCATTTCGATCACTGCAAAAACAATCAAGAAATAAGTAAAAATGCTTTAAATTAAGTGTATTTACCTTTCATTTCAGTAGGTAAATCAGATGATTTGCCAGTAGAATAGAGTATGTTTACTCCCAATATAAGATAATTAGATAATATGCACTTTAAATGAGACAATGGAATTGTTTTATTCTTATTTTTAATGTAAATTGTCTTGTTCCATTGTCCAAGTGTGTCATAATTTCTCTTAAAAAAAAAAAAAAAACTGCACTTATATTAAGAAAAACTACTTATTTAGGTTAATTTTTTTTTTTTTGCAGTGAGACAACAAAGGAATACAAGCCTGAGAACAGTGCATCAGCAAAGTGGTGGCCGCATCATGCTGTGTGAGTGTTTCATTGACAGTGATACAGGTTCAGTGCAAATGGAAGAAAATTATAATTAAAGAGGAACTCTAGACACTATTTTTTCAGACGTATCTTATATGTTTTAATGGTTAAAACACTAGGTTTTACAACAGGAAGCACTAAAGGCCAAGATATATTCATGCGTTGGGTTGTTGTGTGGAACTGTGTGCGATGTGTGCGAGCCCATAAAATCACTCTACACGGTTAACATGTTGACAGAGAGGGGCAGTGATAAAAATAAAAAAAAAGCGGAAATGCAGAAAAAAAAAGGGAACAATTGACGTCCTGCTTCCAAAATGGCCAGCGCAGTATTATTAATTTAAAATGTATAATCATTAAAGGATGGTAGGTGTGTGTATGGCAACTACAGAAAAAAGAGGTTATATAGGTTTACCAGCTGCACACAAAAAATAACATATGAAAAAACATAGTTTTACTAAATAAAAGATGAATGCAATATATATTGAGGGTAGTTGTTTCACACTCTAAGTATGCTGTATGTGATTGAAAAAGTAGCTTAAATCCTTGTTTGTACCACAAGTTTGGCCAATAAACTCACCCCTGTTTGTTGTTTTCAGTCTGACTAAACAGTAACAACACTGCATTTGACCACAATTGATGTCAGTACATGCAAACTTGTCTGTGGAGAACAACTTTATATCCTCCCATTTGGAACAAGGCTGCACACGGGGTCCGCACTTAGGGCGGGGACGGCACATTCTATGCAGCGAGTATAAACCAAGCTTTAAGACAACTTCACTGAAGATTCCTGCACTATTTAAACCTTGTACCTGCCAAGAATCTAATCCGTTAACTTATGTTCATCTAGGCCCACAAATAAAAGCAAATAAATAATACCCAGTCAGAATTATGCCACAAGCTCATTGATTAACAAAAACCTATGAAGCTATGTTGTACTTAGCCTCAGAACATTATTATAAATATTACTGAGAGCATATTTGGCACTTGGGTTACAAAAAATTAATGAACTGAAAAAAAGGAAACTCTTTAGGCCCATGAATGTCTATAAACACTTATTTGAGATGTAAAAAAAAAAACATTGTTATAAAGTGTGATCTTACAAAAACAATTTATTTGAAGATTAGATAAAGCAGCACCTCTGATCTGCAGGCATTAAAAGACAGGATGTTCAGTTCTTGGGGAAGATACTGTTATAAACTAAACCAAAAATAGAAGTGGGTTGCATTTTTTTAAGAAAAAGTTTAATACTTAATTCTGTGGGCTTTATTAATTTGATTCAAATGGAGCCCTCATATGTTCTGACCTAACAGCGCTTATGAGACGACACAATGAGAGTTAAGTTCCTACTTTAGATCCCCTTTTTTCTTTTATATACGGTGATTTTCTCAGTCCATATAATCACCTAACAGAGGTAATACTTCTTATTTATTTAAATCAGTCTGTACATCAAAGAACAAAAGAAATATTTAACAGCAATGCCTCAGCCATATTTTTTACTTTGGCACAGTTTCATGATCACAACATGAACTACATACCTTTCTGTTGAGACATTTACACTTTGAACCATATCAGAGTCCTTTTTAGTTTCTCTTTTTAACTGTAAAGGTACGTGCAGTGGCTTGGAATTCGACCAGAGGGCTTTTATTCAAGGCTGGTAAATAAGGAGGAAGAGAAGTGCATTTCGGAATAAAACTAGGGGTTATCCTGACCCCTGGTAGCTTGTTGCCATAGCTACAGAAGCACTTAGGTCCTAAGCAGGCCCGAGCTGGCCTGATGCTAAAATCTTGGAAGTTCCTAAAGGTGCTGGGTTTGCTTGTAAACTTCACAAATTCACATGCAAGAACCGCAATGTGCACATGTAAGAACTGAATGGAATATCACAAGACAGCATGTTATCATTACTATTATCAGCACCATGTTGTGGGGAGGAAACTCATTTGTGCGCAGCAGCAATTCACAATTACAGACTGAAGAGATAAAAGGCCCATTCAGGACCTGAGTTATTTGCTCTTAGGTTCAGCCTCCAATATGTGGACATCATCGCTTTGGTGAAAATAAATAGACATGTTAAAATAATTTATCTATTATATGTCTGTTTTTTTTTAAATAAATAAAATAAAAGATAAAACCCACTTTCACTGGAACAGCTGTTTATGCATTTATAGACACTGTGCACATTGAGTTTATATCATATCAGGTAGAGTATCTTCCACAGTCAGTGCAAATACAGGAAAAGCAAAAGCCTCAGCCCAGGGGCTTAAGCACATGCTTCTGGGCTCAGGGCATTAGCGTAGCCCATGGACAATAAGGTTCTTGGCCCATGCGAAAATACAGAAAAAAGTATATTCTGACTGAAAAGTTGGGAGATGTAACTTCAGATTCCATAGCTGTGTCAGGATCAAGGGGAGGCCTTCCTTTTGGTCCACAGCAGTGTGGGGGGCAGTGGTGGGGATTGAGGAGAACGCCGCTGAGAGCGACTCTGCCCCTCACACTGCATTTGCCGCCAGCGCAGAAGCTCCCTGAGGGTGGTGCTTTCATCTTTGTTGGTCAGACGTAGTTGCTGTAGCAAATTGTAAAGAGAAAGAAAAGTTGGATTGGATTAGGAAGAGAGAATAGCAGGAAAAAGACATTTTACACTGACAGATGAGATGATCAAGCAAATGTATGGCTCATGAGAAATATGGATGAAAAGTTCAGACTTTATTTTTGATGGGACTGAATTAAATCATTTCTATTTTCTATTTCTATTTTTTCTTCTTGTTGATTTGATAGGAGGTTCTGGGGAGGATTTACTTGAACTAAGAATTGCTGTCAATTGGTTTCTTGAATTAATATTGAAGTCTCTGACATGGACAAACTGTTGCTTGTTCTTGATGCATTGCAGGACAGCAGGGCTCTATTAAGTAGCACCTACCATTGTGTCAATCTGGCTCTCTAATCTTTCAGTGATACTGCAGGCAGGTGGCACATATATCTGTTTATGTCTGCTCACCCCAGGGCTGGAATTCTATTTAGGCTAAAAATACCATCAGGAAGGATTATTTTTGGTATATAGTTGTATTCTTATCATGATCAAATGTTTTTATTTTTTTATTTTTATTTTTTGTATGGGCATATAACGAGACCATGCTCTTTAATTGATGCACAGAACAGCAAAATTATTGTCATTTGTGTCTGGTGTGATTCATTACGTGGCCGAGTTACGGGCCTATTATGAGGATCTGCTAAGTTTTTGGTTAAGCCCATATATTATAATCCCTGATTTCACAGACTTAGCAGTTTAATGTGTTAACAATAACCCAGATACCTGCAGATGACTGGATGTCCAAGATGTCTACCGGTATATTCCTTACCAATCAATCAGCTAATTGTGGAACTCAAAAGGCATTTTTGTATAAGCTCTAGAAACCCCTTGGATGTCATAAAAAAAAGCTTTTAGGAGGACTTATTATATTTCAGCCCTGCAGAAGTACTCTGATCTGTACATTTTCTGTGACACTGTCACAACACCACACCAATTATACACAAACAGCAACAACATACTGTTACATACCTGGACATATGTTTCAGATAACCCTAGAAGCTTAAATACCCAGATTGAACATCTGCAGCAGCAGAGTGCTAAGGAATCTAATCCATAATTTACACATCTCTGTTAGGTTATTCAATGCTTTGGCGCCAGCCAGGAACATCAGCTACTGAAACAGCAGACAAGAGGGAACACCATGACCTTCTGCAAAGCATGACTGCACATGTGCTCACATAAACACACATACATCTAAACAAGAAGGATCGAAAATAGTTTTTTACTGTTATTGATATTAAGAGATTTCTAGTTTTTAACCTTGCTGTTGCAGAATTTTTAACATTCATGCAATAACCTCCAAAAGATTTCTAGCTACATAACCGGATAAGATGTGAATGTGGTATTAAATGATTACACAATAATACAAGCATTTGCTAAGACATATATTTACAAAATGAAATTAATTATTGGTTAGCGTCTGTGATGTCATTTGGCATTTTGTTACCAACTTCTTTTCTGTAAGTATCCATTCTAAATTAAACCTAAGATTTCCGGAAATTGATGGATCAGCTTAATAAAGCACTAGCAAAGGTGTTAATCCACACCTATGACAATGGGACAAGGTGTTACAATCTGCTATATGTTAACAAGTTTATTGGGTTATGATAGTACAGCATCAGCATGAACTTTCTTATATGATTTTCCACAAATAAAGGACTGTAGGACCACTTGCAATTTAAACACAACTTAGATTAATTATTGATTTGACGACATGGCAGCGATAGGCCTTAAAAACACAGTGAAAAAAAAAGGGACTTCAAAGTCCACTTATTTACATGTATACTGAGTGTAAAGGGGTAGTTATACACCCGCAGCAGTGTGTCGCAGTGAGCTTGTCACATATTTTTGATTTATGCCCAATATTGAAGCATGGTCTTCACTATGGTATTCCATGCCACAACGCAAGAGGGAAAATCATGAACTAGCTGTGGTCTAGATACGGCCGAGGCGGTGAGAAAGTGGGGGCAAGTTTGTGCATCAAAGGAGGGACATGAGGGCGAAAAAGAGCGAGGATCCAGGTGGAAAAAGGGTCTCAGCGTTTTCACACACCACTCTAGTCTGAATTCACGAATCATTTTCTGCAATGGCAGTCATACAAACAAAACAAGCCGGTAAGATACCAAACAGGAAATACGGATAGTGTAGAGCGGATGTAGATTTGACCAATCAGAGGCCTCCTGTTTGCAGTACTGTCTGCGGTCTGCAACAGTTTTGGAGAGGTGCAGCAGAGTGTCTGCGGCAGGGGCAGCGGCACATCTGCATTCACTGCGACACACATGCAGATGACCTGGTTTCTGAGTATAAATCAGCCTTAAATCTGCAAGTTTTGGATTGAACTGAAAATGTGACACTGGCTACAGAGTCAGTTTTACAATAATTTTGACTGGGACCAAATGTTATCTGAAACAGAGTAATATTCCATTCTGTAGGTGTTAAAGCAACAATTGGCTTTTACTGATTTTGGTGCATTAAGCTTGTATATCCTGAATTAAACTTAAACAATCATTCTAGGACTA